TGTTTTGAACAGGAATAAAATTATCTTGAATCCTGATTCCGGTGTGGTTCTGACTTGCTGTTGCCAACCGCTACATTTGCATGTTTTGTAACCTAAGCTTTTCCTTTGTACACTGGTGTTGCACATTCACAAATCTAAGACATTATTTTATTATAGTGCTGCTCTTTCTTTAACGAATAAAGGTTTGTGACGTAGATCATGTGACTGGGAGAAGGAAGGAGAAGTGGTAATGCTGGAAATAATCTTAGAAGGTTCATAGTCTTGTGATTTACTCTACCAGGCCTACCAGGACAATGTGGTAAAATTAGTTGTAATTTACATAAATACAATTCCACTGTACTACTTTGGAAACAAAAAGATAAAACATATTCACTGTTACAATGTGTTTCGTGGTTTCAACGAATGTCAGAAAGTTGACGTGAAATTAAACAGAAGTAAGAAGTGTGGACTCCCTGCGACGAGAGCAGTCACACCTTTGTCTGCACAGCAAACATAAAAAAAAAGTAAAACAAGTGAGCACACCGTTTCAGAAGACCATCTAACAATATAACAAAGGGGCTTTATTTATTTATTCATTAATACAGCAACATTAACATTTATTTCGTAGCAGTATCATTCCACATATCTGATAAAGAGAGCAATGAAAATGCAGCCTATCAAAGACATAGCGGAGGCTGACAGGACAACCACAATTACACTTCCAGCTGCGATGACCAGACCTCCGAGCCCCGCTCCCACAATGATCTGAGCCAGCTGGACCATGCAGGTGAGCGTCGCGCAGTCCATGCCGGTGCCTCGAGGGCTTTTGTTGCCGCCTTGTAGCTTTGGTTGTTCCTGGAAGAACAGCAGGTAGTAATACTGACGATTAGTGGGAAGAAAGAGTCTTGGCAAAATAGAAATATCTGACTTTATCTGAAACAAGAACTGTGTGTGACAAAAAAGATTGAGCGGTGAGCAGCTTTAGTCCTGGACATGATAAGGGCAACAACTCAAACAGCTCCATATCTTTAACTCCTCCTCACCTCAAAAAAACTTGCTTTTTAGATTTTAATACATTGCTCAAATAAGCAAAATTATTTGATGTCTTATCACACAAGGATGCAGCTCTGGCTTCATCTTTGTGCAATTATCATCGGAGCAACCCAGCTAAACCAACTGGGCCACATGATTTAAATATTAAAATATAATCCTAATGCCAAAGGCTTTGAGCCACTTTCACATATCTTTGAACTGATATTAATCATTTACATTTATACCCATTGACTTGCCAAAAACAGGACTAACACAGGCATAGGGAGACTTTTTCTAATAACCTAAATAAGGCTTCAATTAAAAAAAGATACTGCAATAAAAAAATTATCATGCATGAATTCTCATACTAACTAATATTATTAAATCAATGCTGTTTTTTCCTTATTGTTATAATTATTGCCATCCTTATGCCTGCACACAACTAAAAACAAAATAAAAACCAAACACACCGAATGCAAATATCTAACATATGATTTGCAAAAACACTAAGTTTAAAAATCCAAAACAAAAGAAAAATCTGTTTTTAAACCCCAAATTAATAAAATTATGACTAGTTTTCATTCAAAGTGATTTTTAATCAAATGGAAAAAAATATCTTTTTTTTCTTTGCTGCATTAACTATTTAGATGTTGTTGTTTTTTAAAATAAATACTAACATTGCTTAGTTTGTATATTATTCATAATTATGTGCTTACTTGTGTATTACAACAAACGCACTCCAGCCTTCATTCATAAATATTCCTGGTAAGTGGCTTGTTTTAAAAGTAATTTTAGGATTGGCTCACAAGAATACAGCAATTGATCTGTGGTTGATTCTATGTTTTTATGTCTCTACTCTAAACACATCTTACTATACAAAAAAAAGACTACTAAATGCTGTATTTGCTAAAGAAGTGGGATGTGCTGTAGTGAGCAATTTAACTCAACTCAACTCAATTCAAGGGTATTTCATCAAGGACAGAACAGTAAACGATGCTGCACGATGAAAACAAAGCAACCACTGTTTCATACGAAGGTTTTCTAAGCACAGACTAATTTTCAAACCCAGTCGTTGATTGGATCTGTTTTTTCAAAAGACTGTCCATTTCTAATGTCACTTATAAATAGAACCGACAAGCTCGCGATTGGTGGAAACTAAAAAAGGGGATAAACACAGACAGACTTACTGTGGACTTCCTGAATTACATGACAGAATCTCGGATTTAAGCGTAAAATATTTTGTCTTCTATGTACCTCCTCCTCACGCTGATACTCTGCAATTAAGTTGAATGGGATGGTGTAGAGCGTGCTGGACATGACGCCAAACACGCTGCAGAGGATGAGGGTGGCGATGACATCCGGGAAGAGGCCAATTAGGCTGGTTCCCATGCCGAACACAAAGTAGCCCATGAAGTATAAACCTTTGAGGCCGATGTATGGAAGCAGGAAGCGCTGCACGTCTGAAAAAAAAAACAAACAAAACAAAACAAAAAAAAACACACGACCAAATGCGTCACAAATGGCTACTAGTAATTAGAAAACAGCAAAGGCACGTGAGGTGTGTTGTCTCCAGGGAATTGGTGGATTATGGATAACTACTTTGACTTTTATAGTCCACATAATGCAGCCACCTAACTCTATTTGCTGCAAAACAACATATTTTTTATTGTTTCCAGACGTAGCTTCATTATATGGTAATTTGCCTTTAGATCAAGGACATTATCTCCCTCTGCTTTTGGAGTTGTTATTTTACACAAGGGTCTTTCCTTGCTCAGACCTACTTTTTGTTTCAAGTATGGCCCAGCTTGGCTCTGAGGTGATCGGTGCAGAGCCTGCTAATGAGAAGCAGCAGCCTGGAAACTCTGATTGCCCACTGCCATCTGACTGAGTTCGTGACCTCCACTGACTCTCACGTGTCCGGACGTTAATAGATGGCAATTTCTATAACGATGATGGAGAATGAGAAACAAACTTTGCCACAGAGACACCTGGCGCATCCACTTACACGAGTAGAGCGCAGAAGACACTGCATTAATACACAATCCCCAGCAGCCGACTTCTACACCTCTCTCATATGTGGCGTACGCTGTAGAGTTGTGTTCCGCATAAGGATTTCCTTTGTAAACAATCTGCAAAAAAAAAAAAAAAAAAAGGGAGAGCAGAGTAGTGTGATCAGGAATGAGAGGGTTAAAAAGTCTTAACAACACACAGCTTTATTTAAAATTCCCAACTTCTGTAATAAATGCCAACGATCTGCAATATATGATGTTAACTGATGACTGGGGTGGGTTGAATTTTCAGCTTGATTGACTCTGACCAACATCAGGTGGTCAGAAATTCAGAAACAAAACCTGGTTCTGAACACTGAACAACACTCTTCTGTGAGAAAGTTGTTTCTGGGGAGAGAAGAATCAATGAGCTATTTTTAGCATCTAAAAATAGTGAACTTAGAGAATCCACAAAAACTTGAGAGGCTTTCCAGAAAGAAATCGTATTTTATTAGGTTGAGTGAACAATAGAGGCTAAATATTATTGAATCAGAAATATTAGAATCATATTTGGAAACCTCAGAATTAAAGTAAATATCCACATTTTCAAGGGATTAGACACAGAATCTGATGGCTGTGCTTGTGTCTTATATAAGATCCTCATTTTATTTTATTTCAACTTGTCAATAAAACATTTCAACAACAGCGGAGCACACAGTTTTTGCATCTTCTGTCGATCTGAAAATATTATGAAACATGATATTAATTAAATATTTTCCTGTTTTTATGTTTGTCAGAGAATGCAAACCAGTCCTTTTGCCACCATCTGCCCCCTCACGGAAATACATATTAATGAGCTGAAACAGATCAAAATGTTTCAACGCTGTGTTCTTTTTTCTCCTCATAAATTTGTTGCTCCCACTTTGCCACCTTGCCTTCATATGACTCTGATTATTTGCAGCTTATTTTTAATTAACATAGTGATTGCACAGTGGCAAAGTGTGAGGGCCATCAGCATATTAAGAGAAAGCCGTAAGGGGGAGTCTAGATAAATAAATAATAATAATAATAATAATAATAATAATAATAATAATAATAATAATAATAATAATAATAATAATAATAATACAAGTTTATAATTTAATTTCAATACCATTTGTATAATTAAATAAATCCACCTATCAGATGTCATTATCCTTGAACAATGCATCACCAGTTACTCTAATATTAATACGCAAGCCGTGCAAGTAAATCAGTGTACCCAAAGGAAACAATCACTGTGGAACACAACACAGAGTGGTCAGAGATGAAATATTTTGATGTACATTTTGGTATTACTGTCAACAACACCACATTATAGCTTTCAAATCTTTTTCTTTTAGTGTTGGAAGTTTATCAGAATGAGTTACCCACACATCATTACATTTCTAAATGACTAGAAGTCCTAAGACATTGGGTGGTGAATTACTAACGACAGGGACAAATAACTTACAAAACATCCACAAGGCTGTAAGATGAGTTGTGCTCAAACATGTAATTTACTTTTTTTTTTTTTTTTCTGATTGCGTGACCATTATTTGGAGCTTTATTTGTCATTTTATGTGCTAAATCACACATACTGTTCAGCTGAGCACCTTGTGTTCATACTGAACATACAGGGAGCAGACCAGTTCGGGGGAGAAGCTGTCAGTCTGAATATAATAGTCTGTCACTGTGGAGTCTCCTGTAAAGGTTTGGAAAAGTACCAGGAGAAAAATTAGACAGATGTGGGCTGAGATCATTGACTCCATCACCCAACGATCAATCTTATCTAGGAACTGTTTGCTAAGTACGTTGCCATATGTACGTGTGTTTCACCCTTTCAGGCCAAAGGGGTTTAATGTTCCACATTTTCACATTTTCTCCATCACATTTATTTTTTTTTTTTTATGTTTTCATTTGCCGGTTCTATTTATGTTCTCACTCCCACCTCATCGCATATGGATACACGATGAAGGCCCCTGGCCTCATTCTTCAGTTTGATAGACTGAAACAGAATTTCATTAACATCTTAATTAGACTATAAAAGATCTCCATGAAATGTTTTTACCAAGCTGATTCTCTGGCAGCGGGATTTGCCACAAGGATAGCAGAAGGAATAAAAGCTATTTGCAGAGAGAAATGTCCTGCTTTGGTTGTTTTGCAGGGTTCTACATCAGCCCGTTGGTCAGCAGCCAGAGTGGTGCCCTTTGTGCGAAAGGGAGAGTTCACGTCTCCTGAAGTGAGGTTCTATAGTAGATATTTCTCCTCTCAGAGGAGATAACTTGCTTGTCTGAAAGCAGTAAAGATCGAAGTGGACTTGGAGGAACTCCAAATTAAAAATGGTCACAGCAGACTATGGGTTTTTATGAACCTTTAAACTACTCTCATGTTTGTAGGTGGTTATTTGCACAGGAAGTGGAAATAGCCGATAACCTGTCACCAGTTGTCTTCCTGGGTGAAACTCATACTGAGAATTGAACATATGTAAAGGATTTAAAGCAAACAACAGACAGAAAGGTATTTGAGGGTAAAAATCAATTACAGTAATTGCATATTCAGTCGGACACATTATCCATTAGTAGATGGACTCCTGAAGTGGAAGATGCTCCAGGAGACGGTTATGAAACCAAAGATTGGGATGTGCTGTGAATCCGTATGATGAGGACATAGAGATGATGACTCAGTGCCTAACATATTCCCTCCACTTCCGTCTAGATGTGGTGAATCTGTATGCTGTTATCCACCCACAGTCTTTTTGGTCTGGTGCTAGATGAACAATCTAGATCTATACTTTTTAAGTTGTTTTATTCTCACACAGGAGAATTTGCTTGTATAAAAATGATTATAAACTGAATCTCACCAGTGTATGAATATTTTTTGATTTATCTGTGAATAAAGAAAGCGGTTCCTTTTGAATAAAAGGGATGTTTTTGTCAGAATATTGCATAAAATGCCTTATGGTTGAAAAATAATTATATATTTTATAATTTTTTGTATAAAATGAGTCATTTCATCACAATTCTTTTCCCTTTGCGACCATTATTTTATAAAAAAAATAAAAAACAATATATTAAGAGTTTAGATTTTATTTCTCCAAAATTGCTATTATTTATCAAATTCCAAGAATGAAAGCACAAATCATACCCAAACTAATCATTACCTGTCCCATGAAATCAGTAAAGAAGAGCATGTTGCAGAGAAAAGCCGCCCATCCCAGCAAGTGACTGATGCACAGGCAGCGGTAGTGGTTTGGCATGTGGATTATAGCTTTCATCAGGGACCTGAATGTCATCTTCTTCTGCTCCTGCGGAAGCAAAGATCCAGGATCAATTTGAAGCCTTGCAGTCACATTTGACTAATTGTTGTTCTGGTAAGATTTCAAAGATTCGACAGCTAAGAAAGCATTCAGAGAGGAAAAGACTTTTTAGCGGAATCATCGTCAAGTTAAGATATACAAAGGTGTCACATGTTGGGTCAGAAGGGACTGTGCTGGTTCGCGTCAAATACAGCTGTAAAAACAAGTTGAATATCAATAACATTAAATCTACTGACAGGAAAGAGGGATGTTGTAGATTTGTTCTTAAAATGTAATGTAAATTTGGGAGGCGTCAAGCGCGAGTTGTCTTCTTCACCTCAAATCAAAATAACAATCCGGTCAAGATATCCATGCTGCCCTAGCCTACCATCAAGCAGAAGGTGATTCTGCAAAAATAACAGACACTTTTGATGTGAATAAATGACTGACTTATTCTGTGTGTCACATGAAGATGTTTCATCTTATACAAAATACTGCAGGTTTCAGATAAAAACAATGAATAAGAGATTTGGAAAATGATAGCTTCTCAACTTTCACCTGCTCTTCATCTTTTAAAAATATTAATAACAAGTAGGTATGAAATCAGCTTTAAATTATGTAAACACGCTTTCAGGAATACAAAGTTGAAAGTGTTAGTCTGCTTTCTCAGTTTTAAATCACAGCTTGGGAATTGTGCCCAAACTTCTGAAGCTCATTCGATTTGAATGCATAAAAGGCAGAAAAGACCAAACAATGTGAATATAAAAAAATAGAAGTCATTTGTCATGACCTTAATGGATAAATGCGTCATTTATGCATAAATGAAGGTATGATGCAGGAATGATGCTGCAAAAAAGAAAAAAAAAAGACTGACAAAAATCTGTTTGTATATACGCAATGGTTCACATCTATTGTAATTTTCTTACATTGTTGCAGTGTGTAGATGTGTGATTAAAGCAATAGAGAGGGGATGCTGGAGTTTTTGATTGTTTGCTCTTCACAATGAATCCTTGTGAAGATTCACAATTAATCTTCATTGTGAAGAAAACTGCTTCTTAGAATATCAAAGATAATTGGCCATGCCAACAACAACTAAAAAAAAAAAAAAAAAAATCCAAACTCCAACGTCTATTCAAACTGCTTTAAAAGTAAACTCATAATGATGGATTTAGCTGGAACCCACAGATCACGCACCTTGTTTGGCTGCTTGGAACTGGATGTCACTGCGTTAGCTTCTCCCAGAGCTGAGAAAGATCGCGGCCTTTCGCCCAAAGCTGAATAGGATCTTGGCCTGACATCTGAAACAGATGTGGGGGCCGCGGTGGAGCTGGGCTCCTTACTGAGTGCTCCGTAGCCGTTGCTTTGGGAGCCCAGTAAGCGGAGGGCACTGGGAGAAGAGCAGTCAGACACTGAGGGGTCCTTGCACAGAGGTTGTTCTGGGATGCTAAACAGGTGCACGGTGAGGAAGAAGCCCCAGGTGAGAGCCGAGAAGAAGTAGATGACTTGGTACTCGGAGCCCAACAGACGACCGAGAACAGAGTGGCCCCAGTCCATAGCTCCCACCAGGTAGCCACAAGCTCCGCCCAGTCCTGAAAAACACAGGGGCAGAAATAAGAAAAGTTGATGATTCGGACGTGAGCCCGGGGAAGTGAGGCAACAAAACATTTCAAGGTGCTACAGCACTAGCACAGATGTAAGATGGATTGCCAGTTACCCTCATGTTAGTGAGGATAGACTCATATTAGTGGCATCAACCAGAGAGACGTCTCCTTCTCACTACGGCATAAAAATCATGCTGAGTGCCTCATCAGCTAAGAAGAAAAACATGTTTAATCCTTGTGTTTTATTCTGATGCCTTTAAGTTGGCGTTATCTCAAGCATTTCACAAAAACAATTCCTTATTCTAAGTCTTTTATATCTGACTTTTGAATGTAGTTCATTGCTTTTATTGTGATATTTTATTAGAAGGTTTTCTTTATACTCCACATTGCTGCAGGCTTAGTTTTAAATGTTAACAGCACTTTATAATTACTGTATGTGTAATAGCATTTGTATCTGTCCATCTCAGCCCAGACGCAGTGCAGATCGGGAGGCTACCTGATCTGCAGGACCATGTTTGTTAAACCTGCCCTGAACATATTTGTTGTCTCGAAGATCAGGCCATGTAAGTCTACGTAAAGTGAAACTGTGAATGGCTCATTAAGTCAGTTCAGGTTCCTTTGATTGCTCTATCATTACCTGGATAATACAAACAAACGAGCGCCGTCTTCCAGGAATGCGTGTCGATTCACTTTTACAACACACATAAACACTAATCAAAGGAATGCTTCTTCATAATTTATACTGTGCAGCCTTCACCTTAAGCTGTGTCAAGAAATGAATTCATATATTTTTTGTGAGCATTCTCTCAGAAGCACGTTTGATCTTCTGAATCCCTGTTGGGATACCTCGTTCTTTCATCCACAAATTTGTTAGCAACTGTTAGACCAGCAAACAAAACTGACTCATAAACTCAGCAGGTTGTACTGCTGGACTGAGCAGGATGCTTTGGGGTAGGAAAAGGCCTTAAATCCCTTACTCTTATGATCTACTTCTTTTAAACTAGTGTCTTTATTTCCTGCAACTGCAAAGCAAAGCAACTGTGTGGTTTTAATGATTCAGGTCAAAAGCATTATAGTATCCAACGCTGTGCCGGTAGGAGGCGACAAGGTCAAGGATAATGACATTAGAAAGAAAACAAAAAACAAAAACAAAAAAAAGACACACACAACCATATGTAAAGGCTAGAAGAATACAAAAACCACAGCAGGACACTTTTCCATTGCTACCATTTACCTTTTCATTGCCAGACTTAAAATCCTTGAGTTAGAATTTAGACTTTAGAGATTCTGTATTTAAGGAGACAGATGGAAAAACACAAAAGTTGCACTACTGTTGCAGTTTTTAGCTCCAAACAAATGACATTAAGTGGATGAAAGTTTATTGCTTTTTTGTTTAAAAAAAATCTATATTTTTTATTCCACACACACTGTCATCTTTGGAAAATGTTTGTCAAAGTCTCGTCCAATCCAAAACTGTATTTGGATGTGAACAATGGGTATGTGGGTCCATTCACACATTCACTAATCTGCATCCCCATTTCATAACCAAATGTTGCCATTTCATCAGATTTTCTGTTATTTCTTACCATTAAATAAAGCGCTGTGTGTCAGCTGTTTTCTATAATGAAGTGTTCTCATAAATTAGCTGATCATAAAATGATAAAAACTGTCAAACTTTGTGAGGAAGCAAAAAGAAAAAAAAGAAAAAAAGAAAAACCTGTTGGGTAGATATTACATAGGCTGTTGTCACATTTTCACACATATCATAGTTACAAAACATCTTGTGTGGCAGGTGACTCATTTTTATAGGTAAAAAATAGTATAAAAAACTGTACGTATGGATCGGAAAACAAGGGCATTCTGGTTTCTGTCTGAATGCAGCTGCTGGAAAGCAAATGAGACACAAAGTCAATAATGAGGCAGCAAATGAGACACAAAGTCAATAATGAGGCAGCAAATGAGAACCCTCAGGAATATGAATTTTTTATCCATTTTAGCTGATAACTGATTAACACTGATAACTAAAGGCTGCAGTGACTCAGCTGAAAATACACCTTAATGTCACTTCAGTCCCTACTCTAACACTTCCATTATTAACTCTTCCCAATGTCTTTCCTGTAGAAACAAACCAAGAAGTAACAAAAAGGTCTGAAGCAGCAACGTTAACGAGCATTTCAGAACAAAGCAGCTGACATTTTATGGTAACAAGAGTTAAACAGGAAGCTTCTATAACCGTGTAATTAGCCGCTGAGCTCTGAAGTCAACACCTTTCTTGTTTTCTTAATGTATGCTGCCTTACCGAAGGAACATTTATGTAATGTTTACTTCAGTAGAAAGGAAAACACTTCACATACCTGCACTATGCACAGAGTGAGTTATGTAACAAATGTGTTCTGATTGGCTGTCTGATTCAAATGACTGCTTTTAAACACTTTGAAGTGCAGTCTTCTCCAGCCAGTCCAAACGTAATGAGGCCATTTTTCTACATTTAAAAAACAGGCAGGTTTAGTATTAATCACTTCAGGTCTAAGGCTTTCGTTTCTTCTGCTAGACTGGATGATTGATCTCCTCTCAACTTCATGATCTCTGTTTATGTTCTGGATCGTTGACTAAAGTTTAGAGACTTTTTTTTTTTCTTACTTTCAGCAGAAGCTGGGAGCTTTTTGTCCCCTGAGAATATTGGGGCCCTTGATGAAACTGGAAAAGTTAGAAAGAGCAGCATATGAAAGAGGAAATATTTCATAGAGCCCACAAGAAATTCTATACGTATCAAAAAGCAATTGCGTAGAAGCGGAAAAGCAATAAAAAATGGTTGCAGCAAGACTGATTGAAAATGTGATCAAACGACTCGCATATCCATAAAGAAGAAAAAAACATCTAAAGGCAACTTCAGGAAAAAAAAAAAAAAAAAAGAACAATGTTAAGGAGTTTTTTTTTTTTTTTTTTTGGCAAGGGATCTTCAGTCAGGTAATATCCATTATGTTTTTTCCCAATTCAAAGCTCCTCTCATATCCTGAGTGCTCTCTCAAAATATACAGTCTGAGAGATGAGACTGTCATACGGGGATTCAGTCCTCTTTTGGGTCATTTAACACAACATAACTTATAAAGCCACAGCATAAAAAAAGTGATCAAAGCATTGAAACAGTGGCTCTGTGGTCAGTACACTGTGTTCTGTGAGCAATCCTCAGAAATTCAACAGATAAAAAAAAACAAAAAAAAAAACACTGAAATATAAAACTACGGGTCATCATCGATAAGAGCTCCAGAGAATACACCTACACTTTACATAAATGGGTTTTATTTTTCAATAAAAGTATTTGAAATTTGAACTGAGATGTTAAAAACTGTCCTTTAGGACTTCGTTTTGCTACAGATCTCACAAAACATCAACCAACCCTGAAGCAATGAAGTTTGGGAAAAATAACTCTGTCGTTCTTAAACTTTTGCCCGTGGCAGCACATGCTGCCGTTTGTCAGTAAAGGCCATAAGGCCACAAATATTTCAAAGTAACACCAGCAATCAAATCCCAGTGTTTTTATTAGCTGTTCCGTTTGAGGGATTTGTTAGACTCATTTAACTCAGGAAAAAAAAAAAATAAAAATCCAATTTGTTTTCAATGTTGAGCTTAAATGAAAATTCTGGTACAATACCAGAATTTTCAAAATATTCACCTCATAATTCCCCAAATTTTCTTTTAGCCCATGATGCTGCATATTTGTCTAAACTGTGTATTGCTGTGCACATCTTTGTGATATTGTACTTAATGTAACCAGAGAAGAAGCCTGTGTTTCTTGGGCCTTGATGTGGCCCACTTCAGCTGTCTAAGCTCCCACTCATGTTTAATTAGATGCACCTGTTTCCAATTACAGCCCATCCCTCTGAGTGTGTTTAGCTAATGTGTTCTACCCCTCTGTCAGCTTCCTTCTTCCTCTGGTTGTCATTGTGTTTTTAAGAGACGGTCTGTTACTTCCTAGGTAACTAACCTTTTGTGACTAATAATAGTGGCTGAACTGGGCACAAAATGATCGCTCTCAGCTCGCTTTACTCCAGCTTTGCAGTAATTCCCAAATTTCTTTAAGTTTGTTTTACACTGTACCCTAAAATATCAGTGATCAATCAATTTGCCAAATTTGAGCACCGTCATATTCGTGCTTCTGAACTGAACTTCTGTTATGTGTTGGGGATCTGTTGACACCCAAACTGTCTGTTTTGATTTCTGTTGTTGCTAGGACTCCATCTATAAATGTTATTAAAAAACGGCTGCCTACTCCAGCACAGGAGCGCCATTCTAATAAAAGCAAGGATGGGATGAGGGAAAAATAAATGAATAAACAAATCAAAACAAAACAGAGAGGCTCACAATTTTTGCCCTTTCTTCCTAAAGCCTCACATTCCAGCAGTAGCACGGTGGGGTCTCGAGAGTCATGTGCCTGGCCTGTGTTTCTCTCAGCCCAGACCCATGACTGCAGCACATGATGAGCTCAGAGCCGGATTACTTCCTGACTCGCATGCTCAACGCCAGCCGGTGCTTGCTGGCAGCTGATTGCTCCGCTGACGCTCACACCAAACACATCACCTCACCCCACAGCCACCCCTCTGGTCTTTGCTTCATCTTGTTTCACTTTTACGCAGGTTTTTGAAGGTCTCACTCGGGAAGTATTTTTGATGTTGTGGTGCTTTGCAGATTTATGTGAAATGGCAAAATGTGTTGTGTCTCTGGGACGTATTTTGAGGATGAGTCATGCCGTTTGCTGCGTATTTGTCTTACTTCAACCAAAGTGATCTGCTGTTCAGAAAAACTGAACTAAAATGTGACAGAGTTTGGATCAGAATATATCTTAGTGTTTGTTACAACATGGCACTGTCATGATCTGTGGGTTTTGGTGAGGTGAAGAAAGACGCCGGCAGGCCAGGATGAAGTGAAGATGATGATTTAATGACAATAATCCACGGGACAGCACAACAAACACACGACGGCACAGGGAAACTGGCTGGTTACACACGACGAGGATCCGACCAGAGACAAAGACAACAAAGAAACGAGACACAGCTGGGAACAATCAACAGATCAGACAGAGACTCACAGGGGAACAGGCTAATAAACACAGAAAAACCTCAAAATAAATACACAGAAAACACAGATCACAACAGGCGGGTAGCATGAGGATTATTTTATGATTTAGTTCAATCTAAACACAGGACAAAATGCAAGAGAAAACCTAAAGTGTTGAGGACAGAGAGAAGTTCCTCTTCCAGCAGCACAACCAACCTTAACATACAGCCACAGCTACATTGACAGAATGGTCTAGTCAAAGCCTAGGGCTAAATCCACCAACAAATCTGTGGCAAGATTTCTTTTCAATCTCACTGAGTTTGAACTATTTTGCAGTGATGGGTGGAAGCAGATCTCTTGATCTCTTAGATATGCAAAACTGGCAACTGTACCAGTGGTGAAGGGGTATTATCAAGGATTTGTGTGGAAAATGAAATTTTCCAAACACTCTTCAGATGTATATATATATTTTTCCCCAGTTTCTTTTCACCTCATAATTCCTCAGATTTTCTTTTAGCCCATGATGTAAAATCCTTTGAACTCACATTTAACTTTGGAATTGTAGCATTTTAAAAATGAAGAAAGACTCAAGGACATTCACACTTTTGCAAATGACTGTCATAAAAATAACCTAAGATACTTTTTTTCTCGTCTTCTGGACTTCTAATTTCATAGCCCACTGGGGTTTCCACACTTCACCAAATCACCACTATAATATTTACCACATTTAAAGCAAAGGTTACAAGTTTAATTTCAGCTGGAAATGTGCCCCTAAACTTGCTGCACAGTGTAATGAAGTGAGGTTAAATTAAATGTCACTGGCCCCCCATCCTACTGTCAGAAATTGAAGAATATAGCTCGGAGTAATTTTCTTAAAATTTGAGTTTGTAATTTAAAGGTCTAAGATTGTCAAATCACAGATGTATTTCCTCCAATAAAATTGTAAAACCTCTTTTTCTCTTCAAATGTGTTCCCAAGTAGCCTAAAGTGATAAGTGAAAGCATCCAGGATGCGACAGTGGTGGATGCAACTGCAACTCGAGTTACCTCAGATTCTGCACAATTGATGGGACTGAAAGTCTCTAGAGAAAAAGCAAGACATCTGGAAATAAGTGAAAATCTGCAGGAAGCCCACTTATACCTGCCACATGACAGCTCACGATGTTCGACATGTTTCCGAGAACCATCACAGCGAGTGTGTGTCTACCTGAAACGATGCGTACTTTTCTCTACCTGACAGCAGAAAGCAGGAAACTACTCATTCAAGCCCATCATTTTCACGACCTGAGAGAAATGTGCAGATAGAGATTCACAAAGAATCCAACCAAAACATGCGTCTGTGTGACTGTGTGGAGGACACGCTACAAAGAGCTTCTAAAGGCTTTCTGTAACAACCATGAACATTTTGTCTGCAACGAGAAGTCGTGGCTGGTTTTCACAAATAATGCAAACGCAAAGAAGACTTTAACTCTTGTACGTGCGAGGACTGAGGCAAACGTGGAGGACTGTGGCAAATGATACAAGTTTTACGTGTGTGGGGTCGGTTGGACATCATTTGTAAACACAAGGGTTAACTCTCACCGTGTCATTTCAGCAATGCATTCTGCTGATTTCTTACTATAGTATTTAGTAACAATCACTTGAGTTCAGAAAACTGTGAAAAAAAAAGGCAAGAGGTGAAATGATTTGTAGAACACAGTTTATATTCAGAGTGTGCATGGGCCCACAAACTGAGTTAAATTGAAACTGAGTAAAGTTACAACCTGTAAAAAGTTATCGCTTTCTGACTTGGTCTAGATTTTGTAATCTGTGCAAATTTTGTTTATGTTCTACTTGATGTGTTGATTTGCTTATTGTTTGGTTTTCTTGACTTCTTTGTTACAATTGAAGTTGCAATATGATACTGTTGTGTTATCAACACATCTGTTTCCCATTACTTAATCAACTGACCTGTTTCTTACTCAATAATCACTTATTTAAGTCTTTGCAGGTTGTTTTTTTTACAGGTCATTACTATACTGGCCAGGGCAGATTTACCTTATAGGAGCCATATCCTCATCATTCCATAAGTGACTCAGAAGGTTTTGACATTTTCCAATAAGGATTAAAACTTACTACATGCCTGAAAGGTAAAACTAGTTAGTAAATGTTTTACATATTCTGATGGCCATCCCTAACAGCAACAGAAACCCCCAGGGTTCTCACTCAGACATCCCAGCGAACTTTTTATATGTTGAAGATACATAGAAGCAGCATGCAAGTGGCTCAACAATCTCTTCGTTAAACTTGGTGTATATTAGAATAGAATAGAAATATCCTGTATTGCCTCCACAGTTGGGAAATTCAGATGCAATAGGAGCGTCAGAGTATAACGAATGTTTGTTGATGTTTATTAGAAGTCTAAATATAGATGTGCTTATGTCAGAAACAACATAGAAAAACGTAAAACAAAGTGAATCTGCACGTAAAACACTCCTAAAGGCAGAGATGGTCTGAGAAAGCAATAAGCAGAATCACATTTATGGACACTAAATAGAGGGGGAAGCTTCTGATGCTCCCTTGTCAAGACTATTTCAGCCATTACTGCAGCTGTCAAGATTTAAAATATGAGTAACACGCATGATCTTCCCCCACTTTATTAAAGCAAAAAGTTTGGATCCTTTCATTTCCCACCAGTCAGAGTAGCAACAACCTCTTGGATTAACCTTGAAGAATTTTTGATAACGACGTTAAATGGGCCAAAAAAGTGGCGATATTGTCATTTAGCGAAAACTGTAATTTATCAAATGCCCCTTTAATGACTTTTGTCATTTGTTGCTGCTCATGAAATCAGCTAAAAAGCTCAGCCACAGCTTGACATTCCATTTCTGTGTTTACATTTTAGCTCCATTTGTTAAACAAAATTGTCATTCGTCACTGCTGCTCTGCCCATTCACAGCAGAAATCAAAAGCGAGTTCTCCTGAATCACTATCACGAATGCTCACACAGCCCAAATAGCCAACAGAGTTCAGGAGGCTAAAATAAGCCAAGAACATCTCGCAGAACAAGCTAGAACAAGCAAATGTTGCAAAAATACTTCCTCGGAAACAGAATAGATCAGGTTAATATGCCCAAAGGAAGCTGTGAGGGACACAATAAGACAAAAAACTGCATGTGGGATACCTGTGAACAGAGCGTGGTAGTGCAGACCTCTCTCCTTGTCTGAATGTGAGCACACATCAAACAGGTAGGCCTTGATAGGGCCGTCGATAAAATCAGCGGCGAAGTCAAACAGCACGACCCCGAACATCACCACGACGATGGCCCAGATGCTCTTCAGTGACCTGTCACTGACCAGCGCTGCAAGAAACAAGAAAACAGATCAACAGTCACACATTAGCACAACCATATCATAACACCGAACTACAAATGAGGTCTACAAAAGTGCAACTTTTGTTTAAGTGCAATCATATAAATGACATTTAAAAAACAAAATAAATAAACTGCAGAGAACTTTTATTCGGTCCCAGTCATTCTTACATTATTTGTTGACCTTGCTGACCTGATCCCTCATTTGAAGACGTGTATAAGGGTAAAAATTGAGGTTGCCCTTAGTTTGATAGTCACGTAAATAAATTGGTGAAATTCTTTAACCATCAGCTTAAAGATCTGTCTAAAGTTAAGCCTTTTAGTTCCACGTGCGAATTGGAAACTGTCATTCATCCATTTACAACCTTCCACTTGGATTATTTAACTCTCTGTTACCAGGCTTTGGCCTTGGCGCTCTGTCACGCCTGCAAATGGTACAAACAGCTGAGGCCCGATTTCTAACTTTCTAATATTCTTCTAAAGATGAAGAAAATATGAATGTATTAGGATTACTCCAGTACTGCTTTCATTGCATTGGCTTCCAATTCAACTTAGAGTCTATTTTAAAATCCTGTTTCTGGTTTTTAAATCTCTAAATGTCTGTATATTTGCTATGCAAGTAAATTATAAATATTGCTTGAATAATTGATCAGTTACTAACAAATTCATAAAGCCAAAGTAACAATCTCAATCATTTGACAGTTTTTGGGTTATGCACACATCATCAGTGATTATTGTCATGTAATCTTTACTTTTCTTGAACACCAATGGGGTTCTAATCAATACTATTAGACAGTTCCTTTAAACTCCCAATATCAGGGTTTAAAACAAGGACATAATTTCAACACAAACAGCACCAGTGACCATAAAACACACATTATTTGCTTATTATCATATAACAAAGAACAACAAAGACTGTCTTAAGTTATTTTCTGCTTGTCTGCGACTCCACTGCAACTCCTGCTGCTCTTGGTAAACTGCTTTGGTCATTGTTGAGTAAGGACCGCCTGCGGTGAGGAATTTTAGTACGGTTTCAAAGATCCACCCACAGAGCTGCCAAGATTCATCTTCTCTGCTTATGACGAAGAAAATGCATGAATTCTTTCTATTTTTGTAAACTTGATGCATCTTGTCTTTAAAGACACCTGCTGACTGAAAATACTAGTTAAAATGCCATGAGTGAAAGCAGGAAGCATTTTTATTCTTGCATATTCTGCTGTGAAGATAAGTGGAAGATAAGTGGAAAAATAAAAGCTTAAAACAAAAGGAAAAAAATAATGCAAGGAAGTGGAGCAACGTGTGTTCACCTCAACCCAATAACAACTTAGCAGTGGCAGCTATCCCAGCCTCTTGTCACACTTTTATTTGTATTTACTTCATGCTAGATAAAGATGCAACAACTTATCTCATGTTCACTCCTACATCTCAGTTGGCTGTGGTTTCATATTATTGTTGCATTTCCCATGAAATATTACAAATTAATCACTCTTTGGTTTGGAAGCAATATCACAGCTCTTCAAAAATTAACATTTCAACAAATAAATAAATGATGCTCGCGGTTCAGCAACCTAATTTTAAAAAGTAAACTTGTATAATATTACACATATTTTAAACTTTAAAAAAGTTTGTACGGAAACAATTTTAGATAATTTATATAAAAATATAACAATCGTTACGGACAAGATCATTCTGTCTCTAAGGATTATGAGAATATATCAAAAGAAAATCTAGTAGCCTCTAGTTTAAATCTCCTGTCAGTCTGGAAATACATTGTCAGATCCAGTCTGATCAGGACACTTTTAGAATGAACAAAAAAGATTTTTAAACTATCGTTTGAGATTTTTGAAACCTTTATTATTTATTAAGAACAATATTCTTAATATCTTTGGCATTTGGATGGGATTAGAGTTGGACAGGCATAACATTTCATTTTGAGAATAACTAAAAAAACAAAAAACAAAACATGGACTGAATTATTCTGCACTCTTAAAAAAACACTGCTTGTGAATCTCGTCTCTCATTCTTGTGGACAAACACATTTGAACAAAAGCAGAACAGGAGACCCATGGAAAGAGAAGCTGTAACCCCACATTCACTTTAAGAGTGAATGTGGGGTTACAGCTGACCAGAGCTCAGTGTTAACACCGACATGTCTTAAATAGCATCATTGGTGCTTCACAAATTCATTTATTTGCGATTTATTTAGAGAGTGTGTCTTTTGAGGGCAGCATCTGAATAAGGTCCGTCACCGTGGGAACTGCTGCATGGAAAATGGGACGTAAACTGCGTTAGAGAGGAATGTTCGGTGAAGAGACATAAATGTTGCACTGAGACGTAGTTACCAATCTCTAACTTTCCTAATTCAATGAAAGCTTTAAGAGTTAAATTGATTTGCTCGTCTTTGCTTTTTGCTGCCAATCAACTTTTCCACCTCCCTGTAGCTTCTTTCTAAGCTTTGCTCAGAGCCTTTGAAGAAAAAAAAAAAAGAGAGAGAAAATCTGGGGTTTCGAGATTGCTTTGAGTGGATACAACACAAGAAGAAAAAAAAAACACTGAGACTGAAGCTTGGACCTTGTTGCGTATTAAAGCAAAAGAACACTAAGAGTGTCTGAAAGGCAACAATTACAGCCTACTTTTATTACCTTGTCGGAAAAAAAAGTGAATAGCAGTTTCTTCTTGCTTAATCAAATAAGAATTAGGTGAAAGACATCAACAAGATTTGGACCTGTGATAATTAAACTGAGTTCTGTCAGGTATTTCTGTTCTACATAAAAGGCAACATTAAGTCCATTAAGACCTGAAAAGAAGTGCACTGCAACAGAAATGACAAACCAGAATATTTTCTTTATTCTAATCAAAGTGGGAAAGAAATGCTGACAATTATGAAGGCATTTTCTATAATGCAGATTTGATGAGCTTACCCAAACAACATAAGAAAAAAAGGTCATTCAAGGACAGAGAGAGAAAAAAAAAAACTGAAGACTTTTATCAAAGGAAACAAACTCATAACTATTTCCAATAAAATATTACTAGTTCTATTACTACAAGCGTTTTTCATATATATTCTATTCTATTTGTGTTTAATTAAAAACAAATTGGTCTTGGATATATCTTTTGAAAGATTTATCAGGGTTTTAATATGTATTTTTCAATGGGTGGGGGTCATTTTACCCACAGATGTCAGACTTTGTTCGTTTCATACTACACGATGTTAAGGAAAACTATTTAGGATTAAAATCAAGTGACACTTGAGGATTTTATGCATTTCTGTCACCATCATATTTAAACAATACATAAAAATAAATTGACACTTTTTGTATACAGGCATGAACGAGTTTGTTCTTGGACATGAACTGAAAACGGGAAGGGATGTAAATGGGAATGCACGAGTATAACACTAGAGCAGAAATAGGTAAAAGGGCAAATTGACTCTGAGTCCTTTTAAACCACTGAAGTGATTTCTCTCTGGTGCTGGGACAATGTTTGAACGTTACAGTGCAGCCCTTTCTGATCTTGTGGGAGGAATAAAGCAGAGCTGTCACAGAAAAAAACAGTGACATTCTCAGTAAAACAGTTTCTGTAGACAGTCTTTCGAGAAAATACAATTTATCCTCCTTTTCTATAAAATTAAGGTCACCAGTTATGTGTGGAGATCTTCTCGTGATCCTGCCTGGAGCCTCGCTGATTCCCAGAAAACCTTTTTGGTTTTACCCCTTCACATGACATTATATTTTCTCATCATACATCAGTTCCAGGGGACACCAGCTCAGCTCCTATAGCTTCAGTCACAATTTTAAAACAGGAGAGTCTTGGGGTCTTTTGCTCAAATATTTAAGTTTAAGTCAGCAAAATGTTTTATTTTTTTGTTTGTTTTGTTCCCTCAAAAGGTCAATAGTGAAGAAAAGCAGGAAAAACGTACTTTTCTTCACGTGTTGTTATATTAGTTTGGATTAGTACTGCTTTGTTTCACTTTTTTAAAATAATGTATCAGTTTCTGTGTAAATGAATATCTTCAAATTTTCTATGGAAGGAAATAACCATCAGCACGGCAATAAAGAACGTTTTCTCAGGTGTTTCAACATCATATGATCGTCTATGTTCTGTTTTTGTTTTGATGCTGCAAAGTCAGACTTTCCAAGTTTCCAACAAGAAATACTTCAAGAGCTAGATTAAACTAATGACAGTGATGAGCTTCTAATTGCTCCACGAGCACTTAAACAAATAAAACCGAGAGAAATGCATTGTTATTGGCTTTAACTAACAGGTAGCATTAAAGGAAAATAACTAATTCCAACGCTCAATTGTGGAGTAATGTCATTAAAAGCTCCACCTTAACTCTGGGAAAAAAAAATCAAATGCACCAGACATCACGACCTCTCACCTGAAATGAAAGCATCTCCATTGAGGAACATGCTTATCCCTATCAGCATCATGATGCCAAGGACCAGGATGTAGGGCCTCCGCCGCCCCCAAGGGGAGCGACAGTAGTCGCTGGCCGAGCCGATAACAGGTTGCAGTAGGAACCCCAGGATGGGGCTGATCAACCACACGAGGCTGTACAGACTGCGGGGAAGGCCCACGCTCAGCAGCACTGGAGTCACAAAGGCCGCCTCGACAGCGTAGCAAAACTCCCGACCAAACATCACGAGGCTGTGCAGGATGAGGCGACCTCGGGAGCGTCTGGGGGGCTCCACGATCCCAAACACGGCGCTCTCTCCGCTGGTCATGTAGTCCTCTTTGGAGCCAGGGTAGTCTGTGGTGTACTGCTGCAAAGATGTGGTGACGTGTTTGCCCGGTTCCGGGAGCTTGCAGGGTTGGGGCCTTGCAGGCTGGTCCTCTGATAAGATGGTCATTGTGGAGAGCAGTCACACAGATGTAGGAACACAAGTGAAGAAGACAAAGAAGAATCGTTGTTAAAGGTGATCAAAGAAAAGGCAAAAGTCCAGGTCCTTGCTCTGGTGCTTGGCTAATCCTCCTCTCTATTGCATAGCTGAGCAATAAGTCCAAGATCCAGTTAGCATGACTTAACAAGTGGAAGGCTGTTCTGTTGACTGAGGGCAGGAAAGCGGGACCCACGGAAGAAGGAGGAGAGAAGAGAGTGTTCTTGAGACATTACAGCACCCCCCTTCCCACTTCTGATTTAGTAGTAGTAAATACACCAGTCATGTGAGTGTGTGTGCCATCATGTGCAGGAAGCGTACGGCCTTAATTTGGGCAGAAAGCCAAAAAACACACCAATCTGTTACGGACAAACTCCAATTGGGACTTTTCTCATCTTGGCTTCTGATTTTAGTAGGCAGGACTAAACATGAAGACAAAAACAACAAAAGTCCCTGAAAAAAAAAAGAAGATAGAATTGGAGATACTTGACATGGAGCTTGGAACAAAGCATCACAGTGTGTAAAGCCAAAGTGCCTCATTACGCTTTTATTACTGCAAACTGCTGGTTAGGTGGCCAGCGCACATTTAATTTATTCAACCAATCTTTATGTGTTTTGTATTTCTGGTTAAAAATACTGAAAATGAAGTAATGTAGCTATCAGTAGTTTAGTAATCAAGTTATGTTATGTTTTCATCCTGTTACATTAACCTGCCGAGGGCTGTAAATAAAAAAAATGCTTTTGGCTAATTTAGATGACAGACTGTTTAATAATTTGCATAGTCCTTTAGCTAAAGACCCTTAGAAAACCCAAACAGTTTTAGTAATGATAAAAAGCGAGTTTTAAAGCTTATCATGTCTATTAAAATGACAATAGATCAACTTATTAACCAGCTAACACTTTGTTAGCTTGTGCTGCCACATATGGTGCAGAAAGAAATAAAGAGGCATAATATTCAACACAATACAAGTTGATAATATTTTTATAGTTTGTCTCAGTCTATATATTAAAATAAATCAACGAGTGCTGATGCTATGTGTCAAAGAACAAGACTTTCGTTAGATCCCAGTGTACTTTAAAAAAAAATAAAAAAGATGTCATTTGTTTCTGCTTGTTTAAAACCAGTAGAAATGAGGTATTAATCCTTTTATTGGCTAAAAACTATTGGCTTTATCTGATGAAACATTTATTATTATTATTAGGGAACTTTCACTTTCAGTTGATGCAATGTTTTCTGTAGTTTGATGTAATTGTTGCATTTCTCTTGCTGGAGTTAGTTTAATAAAAAATACTGTCAATAACTTGTTAAATTTCAGGAGATAAATATCAAGAGAGGCTTGTTCAACCCCAGATTGCCTCTGTAAATAAATAGAAAGCTTCGTTTCAGCTGTAGCCTGGTCACAGGTTTTTTTTGTTTCTCTACCTGCCTTTCCTTATTACCAAACTTCCTCTTTTTACATCCTCGCTGACATATTTTCATCCCACACGTTGATTGCTCTGAATGACACGAAATGTTTTTTTTTCTTTGACATCTTTTCCTGCATTTTCCATCATATTTATTAAGTTTCTGTAAATCAAAAGTAACCTTAGGCCCTATCAGAAAGGCTGTGTTAAACTTTTTTAATTAAAATGTATCCTACCATGTCCAGAAGCAGCAGCAGCATATCAATATTTTACAAAGAAGCTGAAAAACATACTGAGAAAATCCATTTCTGTTTGCATAATGTTCCCTCAAAATAACAAGAACTGCTTGTGTTAGAAAAAATAAATGACCTTTAACTTTATTAAGTTCCCAGGAGCACATTTTGATTTAAGCACCCCCCCCCC